GTGTGTGTGTGTGTGTGTGTGTGTGTGTGTGCGCCCTTGTTTTGGTTACTTGGTGGGGATGATTTTTCAGGAAAATCCAGCCTCATGGGGACTGGATGCTACTTGTGAGGACCAAAGCCTGGTCCCCACGACTTCAGAGGCTGATTTGGGGTGGGGTGGTTGGGTTTAGGACCAAGGTGTGAATTGAGTGTAGGTTAGTCTGTGAGGTTAATTTTAGGGTTAAATGGTCAGGGTTAGGATATAAAGATTTAAATTACAAAAAATGAATGGAAGTCAATGGATGGGCCCCACAAGGATATAATAGTAGGTGTGTGTGTGTGCGTGCATGCGTGCATGCGTGCATGCGTGCGTGCGTGTGTGTGTGTGTGTGTGGCCTTGTTTTTTCCTACATCGTGGGAATAATTTTCCCGAAAAAGCAGCCTCATGAGGACCGAACGTGCATCATGCGGACCAATGCCCGGTCCCTACGGGTCCAAATGCAAATTATTGGTAGAGGCTTTGGTGTGAATTGAGTTTAGGTTAGTTTTAGGGTCAGGTAGGTACCTGTGAGGTTAGTTCCTTTTCAGTCATTTCTCTCAGTACAACACACTTGTTGTGTATGGGACACGAGCCCTTCGCACGCCTGGCTGAAGCCACCTCTAATCACGTCTTTAGACCGGTGACGTGGTGACGTTGAAGGGTGACAGGCTCCGCCCCCACCCTATAAGTTCGGCGTCACCATCGTCATTACTCAGTTCTATCACCCTTCACTTCGCAATAGGACACCTCTAAACCTGAGCTCACATAGCTGCTGCTAGTTAGCTCAGCTTCCAGAAGGTTCTTAAGCTAGCTTAGCTACTGGTGTTAACCGCGTTACCTGCTGGTTCGTGTGTCTGCCCGCTTATGCTACTTTAAGTGACCTTTATTTTTTCTGCTGAAAAAAACTGTTTTATGGTTCATTATGACCACAAAACCACCTTCGACGAAGCCCAAGTCTTCTGTTCGCCCTCGTCCTCAGGGGTGCGGCTTCAAGCTTCATGAGAAGGACCAGCATGAGGCCTGCCCGGCCTGCCTAGGAATCATTCACGCTCGACGGGTGCTTGTGGAGCCCGAGTCCTGCCGGGCCTGTGCCGGACTYTCRCRTCCGACACTGGAGAGGAGAGTGAAATTCCTGGAGAAAATGCTGGAGGAAACTGCCGTTTTCCGACAAGACCCGCTGCTCTCCGAATCCAGCCAGACGGCTCAGTCCGASGAAGACGAGGATTCGGCGGTCGAAGCCCCCGCTGCTAGCTGGGCGGACCAGATGGAGCATGAGGTGGCCTCACTCGACATAGAGGCCCCCTCATCTGCTCCCATAGGGTTCTTCTTTAATGAAACGTTTCGTCTCTCTTCCAAGAGACTTCTTCAGTCTGAGAGTTTCAGGCAAAATTCAGGCTTTTGAGTCCTGCCTCCAGGTGACTGATACTCATCACATGGCTATCGTGTGATGTGCCATGTGATGTGAGTATCAGTCATCTGGAGGCAGGACTCAAAAGCCTGAATTTTGCCTGAAACTCTCAGACTGAAGAAGTCTCTTGGAAGAGAGACGAAACGTTTCATTAAAGAAGAACCCGTCCAGAGGAATATTAATGATGAGGAATATTAGAG